GGACCCTGAGGGATACTCTACCTCCTAAAAACCTGAAGCAGGATCCTTTGCACCGCCCTAAACCCTAAACCCCTAACCCTAAACCCTTAACCCTAGGGCTCCTACCCTCTTCCTGAAGATCGGGATTATGAGTTCTCCTAACCACCCCGCCCATAGTTCCGCCCTCTAGGTTCTCCCTTAATTTGCGTTAATTACCCCTGAACAAGCTTACTTAAAGACCAACTTCTGGGGGAACCCAGGGAAAGTGTTTTTCCGGCAGGGAGCAACCCTAAGCCCTGAACCCTAACCTATAGCCCCTTATAGTACTTGAGCTTAAGCTCCTTCCCAGCAACCCAGAAGACTCACCTTCAAGGACTTCAACGACATGATGAACGACATGGGCGGCCTTGGCGGGTCTGGGCAGGCTAGGGTTCAGGGTTTAGGGTTTAGGGGGTTCAGGATTTAGGGTTTAGGGTTGGTGCAGGGTTGAGGGTTTAGGGGGTTAGGGTCTAGGGTTTAGGATTGGTTCAGGGTTTAGGGTTCAGGGTTCAGAGTCCTAGCGCAAGATACCAGACCCAAGGGCTCCCACTTACTTACATAGTAGGCTACTAGAGTTTAGGGTTTAGGGTTGAGGTACTGGGCTATGTAACTATAGGATACATAGAACGTAGAACCCACTATCTAGGTAGCTGGAGCCCTAGGGAGATGTCATGCAAGCTACCATTCCATGACGCAACATGAGCTGACCTGACATATAGGCATTCCTCAAAATACTCCCTATACCGTTCCTAATACGGACCACTGGATAGCATTTGGAGTTTTACCCTAGACCCTTAACCCTATAGACCCAAACCCTCAACCTTTGTTTGAGGCTTAGTCGCAGGGTTTGAGAGCGTGTAGGATGGACCAAGGAGCATCCCTGCCGTGAGGCCCTAAGGGTCCAGTATAAGAATTATGTACGTACGTGGTGTATAGGTTTAGGGCTTAGGGGCTCTTATACCAGGAGTCGTTGCTTAAGTTTTGGAAGTAGAGGGTCATTCTGTACTGTAGACTTTGAGTCTTGAAATACATTGTTACAGAAAACATAGGTTAGGGGCTTTTATACCAGGAGTCGTTGCTTAAGTTTTGGGAGTATAGGGATCATTCTGTACTGTAGACTTTGAGGCTTGAAATACATTGTTAAAAAATAAGTTGGGGGCTCTTATACCAGGAGTCGTTGCTTAAGTTTTGGGAGTATAGGATCATTCTGTACTGTAGACTTTGAGGCTTCAAATACATTGTAAAAAAGCATAGGTGGTAGATTGGATAACTTACCAGCTTTCCCCTAGGAACCCTGTCACCCTCGCTATGAAAACGTTTACAGACTATCATGGTTTAGGGTTAGGGGTTTAGGGCAGTTTAGGGTATGATTGAGTTCCTCCACTTCTACCTGTGCAGTTTTGCATGATTCTGCCTTCTACTCAGGTGGGGCTTTTCAAAAATGGGGGGTTCCTTAGGGGGGGATCCCATGAGGCTTACGTTATATTCCACTGGGATTTTGGGGGGTCCCACTATTTATGGGAACCACCAGAGCAGATTTATATACCTGAGCTTGAGGCCGCACAAACATGTTGTGGGTGAGCTTACTGGGTTCTTGAACCCTAAGGGTCCAAGGACCCAAATAATAGGGCTTTAGGGCCCAAATGCTATAACTGTAATATTCATGGTATTTGGGCCTTAAAACCCTATTATTAGGTCCTTGGACCCTTAGGGAAATACTTCCGAGCATGTGCATGGTTGCTTCGACTGCGTCCGTAGCCATCCAGCAGAACATGGGCATGAGCTGCAAAGTGGAGTTTAGGGTTTGGGGTTGGATAGGGGCTTCCTAAGTTACGGCCGGCATCAGACAGCAACTTGGCAATCTGCGCCTTGCGGGCATCCGCCACTTGTAGGCTTAGAAAACACGCCCATCGACATGAGCAAGCTTCCAGGATACCCTAGGGATCCAGGTCTACAAATAATCCCCTACGTTGGGCCCTAGAGTCTGTAAACACTACCTACATTGGGTTATTTGGTTGCCTATACGGACATTTTTCGAAAGCAGGATCAAGAGATCAGTGCACTGTCATGCGCTCTCAGTGGATTAGGCCGTGGCCTTGCTGTGGATGGCTTGACGGTGAGCTGGGCCCCTTCCCGAAACCCTAAACCCTAAACCCTTTTAACCGATACCTAGATTGTTCTCATCTTCCTCAATCAGCGCCCTGCCTCCCCTATCCACCCCTGAGGTTTTGGGTTTAGGCTTCAGGGTTCAGGGGTTCTGGGGGTTTAGGTTTCAGGGTTTAGGGTTTAGGGCACTGCTACCCTAAACCCTAAACCCTTGGTGCTCAGCTTCCCCTTTCCGCGCCATGGCGCGGGGTCTTTGCCTCCCCCGGCTGCGCACGCCCGATGTCAGCGCGCGGTAGCTCTTCGCGGAAGATGAACCTCCGGGGTTGCTGTTAAGATTTGGAGGCTGTATGGGGATAATGGAAAAGAAAATGGATATTACTATGTAGGGTTTACGGGGATTCTATAGGGGGAGTATCGTACGGTGATTCAGGGGGATACTAGGAGTTTAGACGATTGCTCATATGGGGAGAATGGAAAGAAAATGGAAGCTACGTTCTAGGGTTTAGGGTTCAGGGTGGGGTACTATGATAAGGAAGCCTTATCTTTGATACCCATATTCTGGTGACTTAGAGTAAGTTCCTTAACAACAACAACCTGGGGTTTGCAAGTAATGAAGGAATGAATACTTCTAGGGAATAAGAAAAGATTTTATATGTCGGATTTATAGAGATAATATTTCCTTAGTCCCTTGGAATATAGTCTCTACATAACCCTTTTTCTTATGTTCCTGTATTCCCTACTTAGAACCCGTAAGAAGAAGGAGACATTGAAGCCCCATCGCTCCAAGCCTGGTTTTGTGATGCCCTAATGTGGGTTGCTGTTAAGGATCTTAGTTTAAGTGACTACATTGATTGGGTTTAGGGTTTAGGGGGGAAAAACACATTAATTGCTATGTAGCTGTATGTATATATATACCCATTATGGTAACTTAATATAAGTTCCTTAACAGCAACCCAGTAATGTGGAGTCGTACAGGGGGGGGGGGCATGCTTGTGCCTCAATTTGCCCAGGATCCTGAGATACCTTACCAAGATTACACCCAAACAGTTGGGGTTTAGGGGTGAGGGTAGGGTTTGTTCAGCGACATTCCGAAAGAATCTCAACATCGTAGGGGGCTAGTACCAGGGATGTCAAGTGCAAAGTAGGAGCTGGCCGGCACTCTTAGATTTCGGGCAAGCATGCCATGACGCCAAGACGGTATCCTTTCGTGATAGCTGTTGGGGATGACCATAGTCTTGGACCATTCACTTCCACACCCAATATTCTTAGGAACTAATCACAGCATTCTGGGGTTCAAGTAGTGCAATGCAAGATTTCCTTCACCCAGTCTACTGTAGAGCCATGTCTAGAATGGCACCTTGCAGAAGGGGTATGTGGAATCCCTTACGTGGACTCGCATCATCAGTGCCATAATTCCCGCGACATCTCCATCTGTGGCCAAGTTAGCATTGGAGTTTAATACCTCTGATTTTTACATACCAAATCTCAAAAATGCTCAACGTTGACCCGGGAAGCGAATTTAGAGAACGCGCATATCGACTATGAATCCTTGTTCGCCGTACACGAGACATACACAGATCCCTACTGCGAGGTTCAGGGTAATCACAACCCACTGTTGGCTGATGCTTATAACCCAGCTATAGCCATCTCAGGGACTAATGGAACTAATACTTGGGCTATAAGTGGCTATAAGCACAGGTCTACTTGGGTCACAATTGTCCTGAAACTTAAATACGCTTTTATAACCCGTTATGATCACTCTGAAGCCCTTCAGAATTGGGTTCTAGCTGCCCTGAACCTCCAAGTATGCTCAGTAGCTGGACCCCACAAAGGATGTGTAATAATGTCTCATGGGTTTGGGGCCATTGTTTTACTTGCCTTGTGGGTCTAGGTCGTGGGACCCTACACCAACCACCCTAAACCCTAAATCTTAAACCCTAAACCCTCAACCTTACACCCTAAACCATTGGTAAGACGAGTCAGCTGAGGCACATGGTCGAAGCCTTGGATGCCAAGGCTGTCTTGCTGACCTTGGGTCAAAGTTTGAGGTTGCAGGGTTTAGGGTTATAGGGTTTGGGGTCATGGGGTTTAGGGTTCTCAGGTTTAGGTTCACAGGGTTTAAGGTTACAGGGTTTAGAGTTTAGGTGTTTACCGTTTGGGGGTTTAGGATTTTAGGGTGTAGGGTTTGAATTTGCCACTTGAGCTTCGAGCCCCGTTTAAGGGGAATCTAGGTGACCTTTGAGGGAAGAAAGGGGTGTTTGGCGTATAAAGGGACCCTAAACCCGGAACTCTAGGCCCTGCACTGCGAAGGGAGCTCTTGGACACTCGTAGTGTCCGGTTCTAAGGGTCCAACCCAGAACCTTTTGATTGTGGCTTCGCCTGGGGCTTTCGAAAATTACTCTGTCGCTCAGGGGACTTCGTGAGTATGTCATACTGTTGGTCAAGGGTGTAGGGTTTAAGGGTTTAGGGTTTAGGGGTTTAGGGTTTAGGTGTTGAGGTTTTAAGCGCTTAGGGCTTAGGGTTCAGGCAGGCCAACCCGAAGAAGCATAACCCCATTCGCAATCTACTTCCTTAGTACCCTAGTTACCAAACCCTGAATCCTAAACCCTAAACCCTAAACACTAAACCCGGAGCAATTGTCCACAAATCATCCAGGGACTTCAGGAATTACAACCTTCATAAATGGCCTGCATCTTAATCCCTGGACCTTAAACCCTAAACCGAATCTCCCTATCACCCCCAGACTAACTAAAGGTTCCCAAACCCTGAGCCCTAAACCCTAAACCCTAAACCCATTTCAAGAAGCATTTGGGGTGCAGGCACGGCATGCGTTGACGGCCTGCCGGGTTCTTAGGGCTGTTGGCGCCTTTGGGCTGATGTTAGTGGCCCTCAGCATCTTCTCGCAACTTGGTGGCTTTAGGGTTTATAGGGTTTAGGGTTTAGGGTTTAGGGTCTAGGGTTTAGGGGCTTCAGTAACATTGGGATTCAGGTTTCAAGTTTCAGGGTTCAAGTTTTAGGGCTCTTGGGGGGCAAAGTAGCCCCATGACAGCCTGCCTCCAACGACATGCATCCTATCATATGGGTACGTTTTTCAAAATCGTCTCTATTAGGATCCCTAAGAAGGATCCCATGATCTCCTTATAACTCATAATCCCTTTCCGCCTCTTGGGCCCCTAGCGCCCCCACATATTGTGAAATTTGCATGTTAAGACTGTTGCATGGCTTACGGGCTGACATGGCACGATCAGCTTCAGATTCTGCGTGCTGACGCTGAACAACGCGCTGCGTTGTGTTTGATGGCTTCGCTTGTCCTTACAATCAAGAGTGGTTAAGAGCCCTCCAGTTACCATCAAATCTAGCTGAAATACCCATTGATTTGGAAACAGCTTGCCACTTTTCAGATCATTGTACAACCCATGCATTACCGAAGCTTGCGTTTCATGTCCCATTTTCTTTTGCGTGTGATTCTCCATCATGGTGGGGATGGGCTTCCGGGAAGCTCATAGCTTAAGAAACCTACGACCCTAAACCTTCGAACCTAAACCCTAAACCCTAAACCTTAAACCTTAAACCCCTAAACCCTAAACCCTCAACCCTAAACCTTAAACCCTAAACCCTAAGCCCTAAATTGAGTGTCGTCAGCTAAGGACCTGCGCGCTGGGACTGAGCGTCAGGCTCCTCGAGTACGAGGGCCTAAGACGTTCGAGGGATTTAGAGTTTAGGGTTCAAGGTTTGGGGAGAATGGAGGGTTTAGGGTTTAGGGTTTAGGAGAATGGAGTTGAGTAGAGAGTAAGAGATTAAGCCTAGATAAACGACCCTAGCAGTACTCAAAGGGAGCCTTGTTTTGTCTGAGCATGTCTGCGTGATTCGCCACCTGCTAGATGACCAGCCGGGCTTGATCTTACAGGGGTTAGGGTTGGATACTGCCCCCAGCTGGGTTGCTGTTCAGGAACTCAAATTAAGTTACCATACTGGGTTCACATAGTAAACAATAGGGTTTCTCCAATATAGTAACTTAGGTTAAGTTCCTGAACAGCAATCCAGCCAGTCAGGGACAGTTCGACAACAGTCATAGTGCAATTCTATATAGCCTTGCCCTGTATATTACCCCGCGTAAAGACTGTTACTGGGTGGAGGTTAGGATCGCGACAGCAGTGCTGAGTCGTCAGATTGCTACCCAAGAATCCTGCCTGCAACCTTCCTTGCATCATGTCGTGTGGCTCCAGTGCTTTGTTGGGTGACTCCTTTCAGCACAAGACCAACGATGTTCCGGTAGGGTAGTGATTGCGTCTTCCCTCCCGCTGCATCCTGCTATCCGAAGTCCTGTAGCTTCATCCGTAGGCTTTGCAACTACAGTACCTCCTGTACAAGGCCTAAGCATTTTCAAGGGCCCTATAGCCCCAACTCAGGGTACTGGGAGCGATTTAGTCCGTAGAATTCTTAGGCATCATCCTCGATTCATCACGGAGCTGCATGAGAGCCTTCCCAGGTGGGTTGTTGTTATGGAACTTAATGCAAGTTTTAGGGTACATTATCCCCCTAGAATGGAGGATCAAATGGAAAAGAATACAGAAAATGAAATGGAAACTGGGGGAATATTGGGATTCAAGGGTCTTAGTTTAGGTTACTATATTGGAGAAACCATATTAATCATTGTATATACTCATTATGGTAAAGTAATTTAAGTTCCTCATCGGCAACCCAGTAAACCCAGTCAAAACGGGAAGATGATTTCTCAAAGGAAGACTGCAACAGTGAGCAAGGATGATAATCACAAGTACTTGGGGGGTCAGGAGGACTTAGTAAGTAGGTTAATAATGGGGATAAATGGGGTTACTATATGGGTTATAGGGGTTATTAACCTACTTACTAAGTCTCCCTGACCCTCCAAGTAGTGTTGGTGGTACACGTTGAAAAGAACCTTCTGTTATACCAGTTATACCTTACTATTAGGGTTTGGGTTTTAGGGTTTAGGTCCCTAAACCCTAATCCTTAAACCCTAAACGCAACGTAGCAACTTAATCAGCAGAGTCCCTCCTCCCTCTCGAAGGCTGATTGTAGAGATGCTGCGGACCTATCGAGAAGGCAACGTGGTCGCCTTTCTGATTGGAGCGGTGTTCTGGCAGCAATGGCAGAGCCCTTCTTCCATGTGTGCCGGGCACACACTCCTTGCCAGTACCTAGCCATTGGTGCGCTTTTACTTACTGGTGGAGAGTATAGAATACGGGATATCATTCCTACATAACCTCTATATCATGTATTCCCTTATTTCCTACTAGCCCCCCCCAGTATGTTGAAATTTAATGGGTTCGAGGAGGGATTCCGCTTCACCCCGCGAATGCTTTACGCTACAGTCTTGGATCAAGTCTCAACACGAATTCTACTAAAACGGGTGCGACAGCCAGGTGGCTTGAATTTACAACCCCAAAGAGTAAGGACAGTGTGCCTGCTTTGAAAAGCAATCGAGTGTGGCATGTTAGGGATTCTTCGACGAACTGCAACCGTGGAGAGCTTCGCAAAAGAACCCCTATGTCATTCTAAAAGGAATAGAACCCTATAAATCCGTATATACTCCTATATACACCGATATACCCCTAGAATCCCTTCAGAAGCTTACGCGAGGAATTCCAAGCTTCAATTCCATGACCTGACAAAGCCAAGGTCAGTGCTGTGCTGATGCAGTCACCGGCGCAAGCGATCCTGATCACAGGGCACCCCCGGGGTCCAAGTTTGGGGGGTTTAGGGTTTAGGGCTAGTTTAATCCTAAACCCTATATTTAGGGTCCGGGGTTCCACAAGTAGATCTTGGGGAATGGGGTAATTTGGGAATGCGTTCCTACTACAGGTAATAGTGAACACCTCCCCAGTCCCTAATATGAAATACTTCTCAGAAGCGATTTCAAATGTTGCCGAGTATTCCCCATATGAGAGGTCTTACATCCTTAGAGGCATATTTCATGTTGGGGGTGGGGGCGTTGGATGAAGAGGTTAGTTCTAGTAGAGGCAGCGCGGTCTAGGTTTGAGAAGTATTTTGGATTTTTTTTGGGGATCTACCGTAGGTCTCAGATCCCTGTACGGGTATGGTTAGGTTAGGATGTTTAAAGATTATGTGTTGCCCTGCTAGTCTTTAAAGCAGTGCTTTTCCTGAGAAATCTGCATGAGACCCAAATTGAGACATAGCATACGTACACTTCAGAGCTTCAGTTTCCGAGTGGGACCTTCCAAACTAGTAGTTTAGGATTCAGTGTTTAGGAGCACTGAAACTAAGCAGTCGTGCAATCTGTGAGGGGTGAAGCTTGCTACTCCCAGCGGATTCGATCCTCCAAAATGAACCCACTCAAAGTGTCGAGCAGCTTTCGAATTACGTAACACCGCTCACCAGGCTGCGAACCTTACCCTTAAAAGGCTATGAAATATCCGTACAATCTATCCCTGCAATAGATCCTGATAAGATATACCCGTAATAAATCCATGGTATATATCCCTATGACATATCCCCTCTTCTCCTTGGGTCTGTATTCCCCTAATTTATGCCTGCAATATATCCCTATAATATAACATGTCCCCATTTTTCCTTGAGTTAGATGCCTGTAATATATCTCCGTAATAGGTCATTGTTATATGAGCCATAGTCTAATCTCCTAGTATCCACCTTAATAGCACCTATAGTAGTCCCTTATATATAATCCCCCACATAAGCCCCTTTCAAGGAGTTTAGACTATAGCTCATATAGCCCAAAACCCTAACCCTATGTAGTAGCTTCCATTTTCTTTTCCATTATCCCTATAACCTCTATATAACCCCTAAATAGTAGCTCCTATATTTATGGACCGGGCATCTCTACATACCCTTGGCTTAGATGCCAGGCAGATGGTTGTCTCCGGTCAAATTGATGCCCAGATTGGCATCATCCTCACGATCGGCACCTCTATAGGCCTTAGGGTTTCGGATTGGGGTCTAGGGGTCCGGGGTTTAGAGTTTTAGGGGTTTAGGGGTTTAGGGTTTAGGAGTCTTGGGTTTAGGGGTTTAAGGTTTAGGATTTCGGGTTTAGGGTCAAATGCTTAGGTTTCAGGCTTTAGGGTTGAGGGTTTAGGCTTGAGGGTTTTGGGTTGAGGGTCACAACATGAGTAGGTCTGTTGCCTAGGATTAGTGATTGTGGCTGCCAGGCGCTTTAAACCCCTAAGCCCCAGAAGGGGACATGAACGGACCTTCCTATGCAGTTCCATTTTGGGTAGCATGTTGTACTTCCTTCCCAAAAAACCAGAACAAACCCCAAAAGGAACCACATAGGAGCTCCTGGGTAGGTATGGTATGGTATCCCTAGCAGTGAGGAGGAAGGAAGAATATAAGTTTCTGACCATTTTGCCTAGTATCCCAGAGTTGGCATGGTGTTGGCCGGAAGATTTTTTTGGGTTTAGAAATTAGGGTTCACGGGGAAGAGGGCGGCCGCCAAGGACGGTCTCAAGTTGGAGGTTGTACATCGGGAGAGCCGGGAGTCCACGTCAATTTGGCTCTACGTTGCTGGTGAGGACTCGAGGAATTGTCAAAGGAATGATAGCATCGAATCCCTTGCCATCTGTTCTTGTACACAAAGAATTCCCATATTAGGAAGCGCGAACATCCCAATGGGGCTCTTTGAGTAGATCGTCTGCCCCAAGCAAACACGCAACTCCCAGAGCGCCCTATGTAGCTTACCTTTTGGAAAAAAACTTGCTGGTGGGTATATATAGGGAGAAAGGAATATGATTTCCAATAGAACACCCATACAATCATGTATTCAATATGGGGTTTCGTGTTGGTTTGGGGAATTCCTTTCTTCCATAGGTAGTTGTCAGTGTGAGGTTGACTTGCTGAACGGGGTTTAGGGTTTAGGGTTTGATTGCGAAAGAGGTAGCCCAATAGGTGGACACTAGCCAAACCCTACAGCCTAAATCCTAAGCCCTAAATCCCAAACCCTAAACCCCTAAACTCCTAAACCCTAAACCCCTAAATCCCAAACCCTGAAAACCTAAACCCGTAAATCCCTAAACCCCTAAAAAACCTAAACTCCTAAACCTTTAACCCGCGGTAGACAGACTAAACAGATGAGTCGTCTGGAGATCATCCAGAGACGCCCGGCAACTCCCGCAAGCAAACCCTGAACACCCTAAACCTTTATTAGTGTGATTTAGGGGTTTAGGGTTTAGGATTTAGGGTTTAGGGATCCAAATAGCCCTAAACGGTACGTAATTCTTACCCTAGAGCCAAGTACTGGCGAGTTGCCCAAAGCCATGGCCCCCTCGCCTGGCTGCTGCTGCTGCCGCTACTGGTTGCTGCTCTGCCTCGGCGCTTGCTGCTCTGTCCTCGAACCTCGGGCCGCTGACTGGTTGGTGGACTGCGCCCTGCCTCCTGCGCTGAATCGGCATCAGCGCCGTGCTCTTCTCCGTGCTCGC